CATTCAAAGTGAATCAATACATATAAGAAAATAAATAATCAAAACGACGTAATTTTGGGATGACCGAAGATTAATTTATCTTAAGCAGTTTGAGAAATATTTTTTACATACATATATATATATATATATATATATATATATAAAAGTGTGTGGATTTTATACGGGATTATATTACGAAAAGAAAGGAAAAAAGAAGAAGAGTTTTACATGTTTTTATGTGTATGTAGGAGATAAATTATCTTTTATAACATAAAAAACATTAATTCCCTTTATTAAATAAAGAATAGCTTTTGGGGACCTTAGAATTTAGTAACATTGTTATCTGTCATATCCGAATCCTTTTCTTCATGGGGACTGCCATCCATTCCAATTGGTCACATTGGAGTATATATAAAATTGTTTGGAAACATAAACAAAGAGGCCCTTTATAACTTTATTTGTGTGCTTTTATGCTTTCTGAATTTGGATAATTGAATGGCCTTTTACCTGCTTATTTAAATTAGAAAAATATTTCATTATTTTTATTATCAAAGATTCAGAATATCACTTCTTAATGTTTAGCTGCGGAAAATAAACGATGGCTCCTTAAGCGATGGAATGTGCAAGGGTCAAAAGTATCTCGTGAAGCTAACTCCTACGCGCATTGGTTAGCTAGATATGTTATGCAAATGGGAAGCGGATTGCATATTATTGACATAGCACTGCAAGATCTTACAAGACTATTGGATGAAGATCGTATTCAAATTCCCGTTGTCTTAGCGCCTTTTGTTCCTTGGGTTTCAGCCCTCAGTTTGTACTAAAATGTTTCTAAAGTAAGTTATTTGTATTCACTCTTAAAATGATGTTGTTTTGGGTTAAAAAATTATAATGAAAAAGACTATTATAACCCTGAAATAAATTATAATTACAAAAATACCTTGATTTTTGCCTTAAAACGACATCGTTTTAAATTCAACGTAGATAAGTTATTTACATTGACTGTGGAAAAAGTGAACCCAAAAATATATATTAATTTACTTGTATTTATTTCACTCATCCATGTGCATCATTTATTAATGTTTAAAAAGATAATACATTTATTTATAGGAAAAAATATTTTTGCTTTTGTTGTAAAAATTATTTTTGTCACATTTATATAAAAATGAGTGGGTCTTATTATAATAAAAAAAAGAAAAAACTAATAGAATATAATGAAACTTACTTACTTTTTATTTTTACGTGAGTTTGATAGAAAAAAAAACAACAAAAACAGAAATACTTTTCCTTTATTTATATTTATTTTACATGTTCCTTTATCAATGCCATATATATTGAGTTTTAAATTCCCCTTCAAATTCGAGGATGAGGTTGTTTCTTTTCTTTCCAGTTTGGGGGAACTCCTTCACATAGCACCCAGGTGATCCGCTTTTTAAGTTGTTGCTTTGAATCCACAGACGCAAAGTATCTTTCAGGTTCTTATTTCCCACCAAAAAAAGCAAACAACATAACTGAAAAAACCACAACTAGAAGTCTACAACTGATTACCAAATAAAAAAAATAAAAAAATCTACAACTACCTCCCGAGTCTTCCTAGTTACTATAAACCCAAAATTAAAATAAAACCAATTCTTTTGCTTCAGATTTTTTTTCTTTAAATTTCTTTTCTTAACTGGATGACCTTTGCTGGCCCTCCTAAAAGTAGGACGACACAACTGAAATTAAACAAAATTGTCCACCCCATTTGTACAAAGACCTTATGACAAGTTTCAATTCCCAGTTTCCAAAAATAAAAATATTATAACATATTTCATGCGTGTATTGATTAGTTTATTGTAAAGAATATTTACTTATTTTTAAAATTTCTCATAAAACATTAAAAAGAATAATTAATTCTTCAACATATTTTTTCTATCAATAAACTTTTATTATATATATATATATAGGGAGAGGTTATAGTTACAACTTTTTTTTACAACCTCTTACAACCATATATCATAACCGTTGATTTCCGCCAATCAACGATTATGATTTTTGCAAATTAAACTCATTAATTAATTATTAATTCATAGTAAATGACAACTGTTGATTGGCGGAAATCAACGGTTATGATATATGGTTGAAAGAGGTTGTAAAAAAAAAAGATTGTAAGTATAACCTTCCTCATATATATATATATATATATATATATAAGGGGCATGATATTCTTACATCAGTGTAAGAGTTATAAGTCATACACTCAATCTTGATCATTGATCCACTTGTATCCAATGGCTCACATTACTAAAAAATTATAGCCCTTGGATATAAGTGGGATCAATGATCAAGATTGAGAGTGTAACTTACACTGGTGTAAAATGATCTTGACCCTATATATATATATATATATATATATATATATATATATATATATATATATAAGGTTTAATGTTTGTTATTTTAAAACAGGCATAGTTATGTCATTTTAAATGAGAGAAAGACATAAGCACTGAAAATTATGGGAGAGAAAGTGAGTGGTTTTTTTTTAATATAAAAAAAAATTGGATTTTATATTTCTCTCACTTAAAATGACACAATTTTATGTATTTTAAAAAGATAAATATTTTTTGTTTAAAATACATATTTTTTTCATATATATATATATATATAATTCTTATTAAAAAGTATTTATCATTTTGTGTCATTTAAATGAAGACTTTAATTTTACCAAAAAAAAAATGAAGGCTTTAATGTTTCTAAGGTGAATGTAGATAAGTTATAATGAGAAAGACTATTATAACCATGAAATTAATTATAATTACAAAAGTACATTAGTTTTTGCCCCAAATTGACGTCATTTTGGATTCAATGTAGATAACTTATCTACATTGACTACAAAAAAGAACTCTTAAATAAAAAGATGTTATTTTGGTGCATAATTGGTGATTGTTTATATTATCTCTCCTCCATTCAAAATGACATCATTTTATTCAAAATGATGTCATTTTATTTAAAATGACATAAAATAATATTTTTAAAAATGATAAATACTTCTCCCATTTTATTATATATATAATAATATTTTTTTACTTATTATTTATTTTTCTTAATTACTCTTACCTTTATATGTGTAACACTCTCAAATTTCTAACAATTTATAAAACATTCTTATAATAAATAAAGGGTAAAGCTACTATCATGTAACATAATCTAAATAATTTTTCTTACTCAAACAAAAATGCATGTGGGTCCCATACATATTATAAAAATAAAAAAATAAAAAATGCTGGTGCGGAAACCAATGGGTGAGTAGGTAAAAAGTTTTATATCATGTTATATAATATTAGTTTTCCTCATAAATAAATTGTCAAAATTGTTTATCAAACTTTTTTTTTTGTCAAAATTCATGTTTTATATAATTATGATAATAGAAATATTGCGAAAGCTAATCTAAAACTAATTTGAAAAAATATTACCGAGGCACCTGTACAGGGACAAGTGCAAGGCTAACAAAATAAAATCTAAGACTACATTTTTATACATAATATTTAAAACAAGTTAGAAATTCTGAGTTGTTATTTTCACTGCCCACTGCTAGCCCGATTCTTTGAAACCTATTTCAGTGAAAGTCTGCTCTCCGTAGGATCATTGGAGTCAAACAAACACAAAAGTCAGCAAAACTAGTAATCCTAATCAAAACACAATTAATGTAATTGATAATCAAATTAAATCAAATATCAATATATATAATCAAATAATGATCAAATCAACATCAATTCCACATTAATCAAATCAAATATTAATATATATATATATATATATATATATATATATATAATAATAATAATCAAATTAATATCAATTTCATCATATAATATTTATCTTTATTAAGTTCATTTAGTGTATTTAGTGGGAAGAGAACCATGGTAGACCCGGAGATTCTGCTAGTCTACCATGTGACCCGGATATCCTGTCAGTCACATATCAACAATTTGACCATTATCAAAAACACCTAGTGTGCACACTTCTTCCCAAAGTTGCTACTAGTATCATCTAATATTTCCAATAGCACAATTTATGCATAAAAAATCATCCTAATCCAATCAAACATTACCAATTAATGCATAAATGACCAATCAATTAATAATTCAATTAATCACAATTAATCATCTAATATATATATATATATATATATATATATATATATATTATTTTATTATTATTAATCTGGAGTATTACAAAGTATCAAAATATTTCCAATAGCACTCATATCGCACCTATATCGCACTAAATCATTTTATTAAAGGTAAAATTTGTATTATAATTTGTTATCTATCACCATCAATCTGGAGTATTACAAAGTAGCAAAATATTTTCAATAACACTCATATCGCACATATATCGCACTAAATCATTTTATTAAAGTTAAAATTTATATTATAATTTGTTATCTATCACCATCAATCTGGAGTATTACAAAGTATCAAAATATTTTCAATAACACTCGTATCACACTAAATCATTTTATTAAAAGTAAAATTTATATTATAATTTTGTTATCTATCACTATCAAATATATAAATATATATATTTATATATTATTGCTACTAATTTGTAGTTTATTATTATTATTATTACTATTCATTTTCTGAGATATTACAATATGGATTCACCTATTGTCACTCTAATTAGTTTAAAATAAGGATTATGGTGATGTTAATTGATATGTTTTTATTTATTTAATTTTTGAAAAATTAGTAAATAATACTTCCAAATTTAATAGCTCTTTATAATTTTAAATAATAAATGATAAAAAAATCTAAATGATAAAAATGCTAAACTAGCATTGTTTTTTTTTTAAAAAAAACAAAGAAGAGTTTTTTTTCGTTTTTTCCAGGTAAGTAAAACCCTATCTAAATTACCGGATCGAGAATGTTCTATCCCAATGGACATAACACCCAACAACAACCGTCCGATCTGGTTGATCTCTGATCATCGTTAGTTTATATGTTAAACTCTGAACATTTCTTGTCTTCTTCTTTTCCCTTTCACTGCCAACACCGCAGCCGCAGGAGACAACAGACACCGTTCTGGTGAGTTCTCACTCTCTCCGCAAATGCGTCGTTCCCCACTTTGAAAGCCTATCGAACTATTTCTTTTATGTTGTATTTCTTTTTCTTTTTTAATTTTTGATCTTTTTGTTTTTTTTTCTTGCGTGTTTTAGGATCACGAAGAAGTGGTAGGGTTCGATGGAGAAGGAGTTGGTTGAATTGTACGAAGCCGCGAAGAAGGCGGCGGATTCGTCCACCAACACCGACGGCGAACACGAAGAAAGCCGATGTATTGATGCGCTCGAGCAGCTCAAGAAATTCCCCGTCAATTATAAGATTCTCGTCAACACCCAGGTCATTTTTCTCTTCCTATTTCCCACTTTTTTTTTTCCAAAAAATAAAAAAAATCATGGTTTTGATTGGTTCATGTTTTTGGATGAAGCTTTTTGTTTTTAAATTTTTTTAATCAATTTTAAATGAGAAATTCTAGAAATGAATTGGTAATTTGAAGGTTTTGAGAGAAACAAGTGAATGCTAGGTTAAGTTGTGTGGGGATATGTTTTGCATCTTATAACGGGTCCGGGTTCAATATCAGGACAGTATTTAAAGTGATAATGTTGTTCATTTTGGTTTGTGTTGAGTACACAAAGTGATACATTTGTATTTTTGGATGAGCTGTGATTTTCACTTTTAGGTTCTGTAAATAGTTAGAGGTAAAAAGAAACACGTATCTTTTTTTTATTTTATTTTTATTGTTGGGCTGATCAATCATAATTCAAAAGGTTACTTGGGAACAGATAGTACTTTTTCTAGGGATGCAGTTCACTCATTTTTATGCTGCGGAGGATGCTTGGGGGTAATGTTTTTTATGCATTAGAGAAATGAGTCATGCAGTTTTGAGGTGTGGTGGGCATGTTGAAATTTTAAAAGAATTATATATTGAAGTTTTGATCATGTTTGGTTACAGAAGGTTTGCAAGTGTTGCCTCGATTAACTTCTTAACTGAAGAATTTTAGTATCACTTTGGATGGTAGAATGAAGTTGAAGTTACAGAATGTTCCATTAGTTCATGTAAATCTAAACTACCATAGCTTCCTGAGGTTGTCCTTGTATCTGGGATCTTCTATTTGATAGTGCCGGTTATGTCATTTCTGTTGGGTTTGGATCCTCTCCTTTTCCTTCGACATATGACAGTGTCATTTTATGAGAGAAAATGACACAAACTACTACTGAATCTGTAGACCCTGTAAAGGTAATAGTTGGCCCTATACAAATAATAATTGTGTCTTCTTTCTCTTTCATAACAGGAGACTGTCATGTTCTTGGGTAAAAAGAGATGATCGAAATCCATTCTTGTCGCGCATAGTGCACTAGATCATATGTCGAAGACCCGATAGAGTGTATGTAGAAATAGTGGTCCCTTTTTCTCTGTTGCCAGACAGAATGAATTGTTGCTTCTGTTTCATACTTTGGATTGCCTTGACTGATGAATAACAAAATTTGTTATTGGGTTTGTGGTGAATTGGTAAAAAATACATTCCGTTGTGTTTGGAAATTGGAGTTATTAAAAATTGAAAATGATTTGAGTTAAATTGAATTTTTTTAATTTGATTTTGAAACCAAGTCTCATGCTTGGAACTCATTAAAAAAGGAATAAAAAGTGGATTTTAGAAAAGGTTTAATGTCTCTCATGTTGTAGGAGATAATTTTTATCTCTTTTTAGAAATAAGTTTGTTTCCTATATCATTCTAATGCACCTGGGTGACTCGCTTGGATTGGGCTTTTTCATAATTTATTTCTTTATTTAGGGATTTTAATAATTATTAGTTATTTCCTTTTTGTTATTTAAGATTATGTTTGAGTGTGCGTTGATTGTGCGTTATCTCCTTTGATTGCGCATGATTATAGTTATTTACTTTTTTTATTATTCTGTTTTTGCCTATTTAAGGCTTGGAGAACCCTATTGTTATTTGGTTGTTTTTGGTTAAAGAATATTAAGAAAAGAGAATAGTATTTTCTCGCAATCCTTGTATTTGTTTTTACTTCTGTTTAGCCAATTGGTTACTGCTCCGGCATTATTTGGTATCAGAGCCAGGTTGTCACTTAAATGGCTGAACAGAACAATGGCGGTCGAGGTCGAGATCGTGGACGACGGGGTCGAGGCGACGACGGCGGTAGAGGGCGTGGTAACACCCTTTATGGTGATGGTGAACAACCACACATCGACGCGCGAGACGCCACAATGGTAGCAATGGCTACTACATTGGCAGAACATGGTAGACAAATTCAGGAGTTCGAACAACTGTTTGCCCAAACACAGTTGGCCGAGTCAGATGAAGGATGGGAATCTGAAAGATCATCTCATGAGGAGGAAAGGAGATTCTGGATCTGGAACCAAGAGCGACGAGGACGAAGTCAACCTGGAAATCAATCCTTTTTTGCTAATATTGAGGTGAAGATTGAGATCCCAGAATTCGAGGGCACTACTCATCCAGATGAGTTTATCGACGGGTCACACACCGTCGAAAAGGTCTTTGACGTCATAGACTTGACAGAAGACCAGAAGGTCCCGATCTATGATGAATAAGATGAAGAAACTGTTACAACAAAAATTCTTACCCATTCGCTATCGGCAGGAGGCATTTATTGAGTACCATAATCTCAAGCAGCGAGACCTATCAGTTGAACAGTATACAACTGAGTTTGATCATTTACAGATGCGCTGTGATATTGCAGAGGAGGACGAACAACTGGTTGCTCGTTACCTAGGAGGACTGCGAATTGAGATCTCAGATGTTGTATACCTACAACAATATTGGTCATATGAGGACGTATGTCGACTAGCTTTGAAGGCAGAGGAGCAGTGTAATAGAAGAGGAGGTACTTCAAAATTCCAACCCAGATTTTGTGACAAAGGATAATTATCAAACTCGACAGCCAACACTAGTGCGGGGATGGAATCTTCTAACCCGAAACTAGTGAGCAAGGGGGGAGCGATCAATGGTGAAGCAAGCAAGACAAGGACTACGACAAAGAGATGTTTCAAGTGCCAGGGTTTAGGACACTTCGCTGCTGATTGTCCAAACCGGCAGTATGTTACTCTTGCGGATACTCAAGCCCATGATATAGGCCCCACCTATGATGAGTATGAAGAACATGAGGTGGATGGAAGGTCTAAAGAATGTGAGATTATTTTCGGTGATTCAGGCGAAGCCTTGGTTGTCCGAAGGGTGTTGAATGTGGACATCATTAATGATGAGTCGTGGCTTCGACACAATATATTCCGCACCAAGTGCACCAGCGGCGGTAAGGTGTGTAATATGATCATTGATGGAGGGAGCTGCAAGAATGTAGTCTCTAATACCATGGTCGAGAAGCTAAGATTGAAAACAGAGGAACACCCACAACCATACAAGCAGCTTGCTTGGCTGAAGAAAGGAAGTGAGGTGAAGGTGAACAAGAGGTGTCTCATACAATTTTCTATCGGCAAAAGGTACACTGATGAGGTGTGTTGCGATGTGATTCCGATGGATGTGTGTCATATCTTGTTGGGGAGGCCATGGCAATTTGATAGGAAAACGAAGCACGATGGCTTCAAAAATACTTACACTTTCAAGAAGGACGGACTAACTATTACCTTGGGTCCATCTGAATTAAAGGGGGAGGCGAAGAACATTATGTTGTCTAGAGTAGGTTCCCAAGAGGAATCTACTAATGCCATTGAGATATATGCTTGTGTGGTGATAGAACAAAATTCTGGTGTTTCTGACATTCCTTTACAGGTTAAGCCATTGCTAGAGGACTTCGTTGATGTGGTTCCTGAGGAGATGGCATTGGAATTGCCACCTATGATAGACATCCAGTATTGTATTGACCTTGTGCTAGGAGCTGTTATTTTCGACAAAGCTACATATAGGATGAGCACTGAGGAGCAAAAGGAGTTACATTCACAGGTTCATGATCATATTCAGAAGCAGAATGTGAAATATAAACAGCAGGCTGACAATCATAGAGATCAAGCCATTTTCAATGAAGGCGATATGGTATGGATCCACCTTAAGAAGGAACATTTTCTGGCTAGCAGGATTGTTAAACTACCTAGAGCTAATGGTCCCTTCAGGGTGCTCGGGAAGATCAATAACAATGCTTACAAGATTGAACTTCTTGGGGAATACAATATTTCTAGTACTTTCAATGTTGCTGACTTGTCTCCTTATCATGATGATGAAGAGGGCATAACGTGCGAGAATAACCATGAAGATCCGTTAGATTCGAGGACGAATCTTCTTTTGGCAGGGGAGAATGATGCACCTGGGTGACTCGCTTGGATTGGGCTTTTTCATAATTTATTTCTTTATTTAGGGATTTTAATAATTATTAGTTATTTCCTTTTTGTTATTTAAGATTATGTTTGAGTGTGCGTTGATTGTGCGTTATCTCCTTTGATTGCGCATGATTATAGTTATTTACTTTTTTTATTATTCTGTTTTTGCCTATTTAAGGCTTGGAGAACCCTATTGTTATTTGGTTGTTTTTGGTTAAAGAATTTTAAGAAAAGAGAATAGTATTTTCTCGCAATCCTTGTATTTGTTTTTACTTCTGTTTAGCCAATTGGTTACTGCTTCGGAATTACATTCCATCACAAGATTTGATTTACAAATTAAATGATATCCCACCCCCTTCCCTCTTTCTCCCCCCAATGTTTCTGCTGGTGAATCTCTGTATCCCTTCTTAGTAAATGGGTTTCTTTGCAAATAATCATAACAGATGTATATTGTCAATATTGCAAAGGTTTTATTATTACTACTACCATTATTTTTTTAAAATCAGAAGTTATTGATCTATCTGAGGGTGACAGTGGATGCTCCATCCTTTCAGAGGTAAAATGGGAAAATAAAAAAAAGGTCAAAGGAAAAATTAAAGAGGTGATCTATAATTTAGAAAGAAGGGATATGATATTATACTTACTTTATTTTATGCCTACTCTATCTACTCATCTCCAACGCCGTTGGATCAGAATCTCAAGAGGGGTGAGAAAGGGTGAAAGTTAGTTGAGATTTTGATCTAACTGTATTGGAGATTAGTAGATAAGGTAAGCATGAAAAAAAGATAGGTAAAATATCCTATCCCTAGAAAGAAATAGAAAGTGCAGAAACTTTTAAGTATTTTTTTTACTAAAAACTAAAGAAAATTTTATAGATTTTCTTTTGAGTAGAAAGTTGCAATAATCATGGATAGTTTTATGCTCTAGACTTCTGTGTTTGTGAACAATGTGGCATCTTTGTCATGTGATGGGTTGATGGCATAATGATGACTTCAAGGGGCAGCTAGGTATCCCCTTTGGGGAGAAAAATAATTTAGGGATGGATTTTTCGTATAAAGCTGTTCCTGAGTTTCCCCACAACCCAACCCCAAAAAATTAGGGGAACTCTTAACTGATCCCCACACCTGTATTGATTTCATGGCTTGATCTGTATGACTTAAAGATTTGTTTTTGTTTTTTTCTTTTTTAATCAGGTGGGCAAACATCTTAAAGTTCTCACTAAGCACCCAAGGCAGAAAATTCGGGCCTTTTCCACTGACCTCATTGAGATATGGAAAGGCATAATTATCAAGGAAACAAGCAAAAATAAGAATGGGGGCTCTGATAATAAGGGTGAGACAGAAAATGGGGAGAGAGCTAAACCTGGGAAAATTCAAAAGAGTCCATCTTTGAAGGTTGAGAAAGGTGAAACTGTTAAGGTTGAGAAAATTGATAAGAATGGTACACCAAGGTCAAGCTCAGAAAATATAAAGAAGGTGCAAAATGGGGATGTCAAAATTGAGAAAACTGATCATGTCGCAAGCGTCAAGGTGGAAAAGATAGCCAAAGAGGAAAAGCCATTTTCTGGAGCAAAGAAAATGTCTTCCACCTCTGCCAATCCTCCGAAGCTAAAGAGTATGATTAAATCTAATGACGCAACACGAGACAAAATAAGGGAAATTCTCCAGGAAGCTTTATCCAGGGTTTCTGGAGAGGCTGATGAAGATATCATGGATGAAGTTAATGCGTGCGACCCTATTCGTGTTGCTGTGAAAGTGGAGTCTGTACTATTTGAAAAGTGGGGTCCTTCGAATGGGGCTCAAAAGGTTAAGTACAGGTCCTTAATGTTTAACCTTAAGGATCAAAACAACCCTGATTTCCGGAGAAAAGTTTTACTTGGGGTTGTTGAGCCAGAGCGGCTGATCAACATGAGCACAGCAGAAATGGCTAGTGAGCAAAGGAAGCAGGAGGTCGAGAAAATCAAAGAGAAAGCTTTATTTGACTGTGAGCGTGGAGCTCAACCAAAAGCCACAACTGATCAATTTAAGTGTGGTCGATGTGGGCAAAGGAAGTGCACCTATTATCAAATGCAGACTCGCAGTGCTGATGAACCTATGACAACCTATGTCACTTGTGTTGTTTGCAATAACCGTTGGAAGTTCTGTTAGTATGATGATGACTGGTGAGTATCTCAAGAGCTGTTGACATTCTTTTACTTATTTAGGGTTTGATGCAGTGGCTGTCATTATGGTTCCACACTGCAGTCGTGTGAGGATTCTCTTCTCAGAACTGTTACATGTAGAAATTTTTTAGGGAAGAATGTACTTTTTATTCAAGTTCTAGCTTAAGTTTTCGCATTAAGTAGTTTTTTATAACTTTGTAATTTCGTCTATTATAAAATTGCACAATTGTTTTTCTCAAGTTTTCTTTGTCGATTATTGCAGTATTTACCTAATGTCATCTAACCTAGTTGATCGCATAACAAAACGGTCAGCCAGAGCTAGGTTTTCTTGGTCACAAAACACAGTTGTATTTTTTATTTTATTTTTTGTCCCTGGTTTTTCTCGGTACAAGCCCAATCATCCAATCCTGATACATTGTACTCCGCTGCTGCACATGATTCTTTTTTGGTTAGAGTATTTGTTTTCGTTTGGTTTTCAGCATAGCTTTAGTGTCAAGGTGTTGCTGGTGAGTTTCGAACTCTTCCAATGCAGGACAGATCAGTTGCCAACTTTAGCCATACCTTGTGGTCCTAAGCTGCCATTTTAGTAATGTGTACCGACTCCCCATTTTTCTCATCACTAGCTCAGATAACCAGAATAACTTCTTAAAATGACATTTTTATGCTACATTGAGAAGTTACTGGAAGCAGTTAAAATCACTCACTCCAGAAGAAAGGATTGAAAGAAAAAGTGTACATTTTGTAAGTACAGTGTTTTTAAACGCAAATCAGATCTTCAATAAGGGTTTAGTGTTTAATGATAGGGGAAACATTTTTTCCTTTCAAGCATGTAAAATATCTCCTTTTAAATTAAAATAAATAAGTTGTTTTGGTTATTTATTTATTTATTTAAAAAAAAAAAGATGTTTTGGTTAATTGCCCTGGAAGATGAGTTCTGCCAGGAAGAGAATTCAATATTAGTGTCTGACAGACTGATAGAAAGTCACCGTTACAGCTGAACACACTGATTCCCTTTGGATGGTTCTTGAAAAGACTAACGTGCTGTTTCGTTGAAGATTTTTTAAAACTTACTTATGCAAATCAAATTGGCAAAAGTAAGAAAGCAATGTTTGGTAGATGGTTTTACAAAATTTTCCTAGATATTGTATTTGCATAGCATTTCTTATTTGTTCATAGAAAGCAAGACAAAGTTACTGTTTAGAAAGACAACTTGAGGATGATATTTTACATTTAGCTAGCTAAATGGCAAAAGAGCAACTCACTAATAGACTTAAATACCCTCATCTAAAGTGTAAAGGTTTCACTTTTTTTTATGGGGTTATATTTGTAATTTGAAGTTATTTTTCCATCTATATTTTACCTCAAATCAAACATAGACTTTATAAATCTTACTTAATTTACCCAGTAAATTTTTTTCTAAACAAATAATTTTTTTTATATTTTCCTACCAAATTCACTTTCCAACCATTTCTTTGTTAATTACATTTCTCTAGTATTCAAAAAATTTCTCCTCAATCAAAAGTGCGCCGAAGAATTGTTGCGAATAAAGTAGAAGCCGTTAACTAATCAATCTCTGCAGGAAAAATTGAGCATTTGATGTGAAGGTTACCATGTCAATATGCCCAATAAATCTAGCTCTTATGCTCAATTTTTAGCTATGCTATTCACGATGGATGAAATAATAATGCAGCACAATCACATCGAGAGCTCGAAACAGAAGTAGCAACCACAGAAAAATATAACGGGCAGTGATATTATCGTCTGTGTACAAGGTAATGTAGCAAAAAACTTCTACATTCGAAGATACAATCGGTTACTATTTTCTTGATGGGGTTTATTGAAATAAACCGGCTTATCTAGCTAGTAAGGTAAGAGAGTCCAAAGTCAAATATAAAACCCATCCCAAAACCTAACTAGATAGTAACATTTATTTCAACTACAATGAAATTCCAAGTCACTGCCTACTTTTGAGAAAGAACATCACTGTTCAGTTCCTTAAGAGCTTGGAACACTCTAGAGCTTCTATCAAATATACGAGCCCTTCGGTTGTAATCCTTAGGCTCTTTTCCCACATCTTCACCCATAATTGCTTCCCTTTCCAAACACTCCAACAGCTCCACCACCCCATTCCCTTCTTCACATTTGTGCCTAAACCTTGCCATTCCAATGCTTGCCTTCTCTTCATCTTGGTGTGTGTTCATCTCAGCTTCCAGTTCTCTCTCCAACTCTGCCACCGAACACCAGCTTGCACATCCCATATTCACAAACCCGTTACCCTTTCTCTGCTGTACTAGACAAGAAGCATGGTTTGGCCAAGAATGGATATTCACCTTGAAAACCATATTTCTCACCTTGCCCGCGTTCACATTACAAGGGACACGACTTTGACATGGAACAAGAGGGTGGCTGGCGTTGCTCAGAGGCAGGGACATGTGTGTATTAGCAAGACACGAAGACCCCTTCACGGTTTGGCTCAAGTTCCCCGAGCTTGAAGGCCTTGGATTGGATGGATTCTATTTATGGAGGGTATTGACAACAAGAGGTGGAGAGGGCACGCGTTTGAATTCAAAGAGTTCGTTTTTCAAAGTGTTGTCTTCATTTGCCTATATTGTCTAAACATTTTGTGAAAATTTGCGCTGTCTGTGACGGTGTAACCACAAGGTACAAACGAATTTGGATACGGCAACAAGATAGTGTTTCCTACTTGCAAGCCACAACCTTCCAAAATAGGAAAATTCATTAATGATATTTGACCATAAGTCGTTGATTTTTTTTTTATCTAATAGTTCTAAGACGAAATGTCAAATGATCCTAATAAGGATTGAATATTATATTTATTTTTATATCATAATCTCTAGAGAAAAGAGAAAAAATAAATGTCAGTTAAGATCTAATAATATTGAAGAGAAATAGAAAAATTAAATATAAAAATAAGTAGGCATAATTTTCTAACCCTTTTAAAATAATAAAAAATAACTAAATATTGTTAAATCTTAATATTACGTAACAAGTATTTAACACATTTTATCAGTATTTTTAAATTTATATAAAATATAAAATGTAAAATTATTAATTAACTGAAAAACATTTAAAAATATAAAAAATTGTGTAAATAATTCAAATAAAATATAAAAATATAAATTAAAAGAGATAAGTATTCAAAATCATATAAAAAGATATATATAATTTCAGTGAAGGAAAATAATTATATAAATTGCTCAAAAGTGAAGGAAAAGAGTTATGTAAAAAATCAATTCAACCCGAAGTAAAATTACATTGATAATTTTATACTTTTCTAACCAGTGATATCACCCAAATACATGTAATGACATGTATGATAATGAATTCATTGCTAGATATAGAGAAGACTCTAGGATGAGGATGGGAGAAAATATGGGATAAGGTAGGTTGTCTTAGAAAGAAATAATCACGTAATTTCAGCACACTTCAAAAGCTTTTACTTCTACAACGGGATTGGTTTTGTTCCTATTTCTGCCCTATAAAAGTAGGGATTTATAAATATCATGTCTCTGGATGAAGCTTGCATCATGCTACACTCACAATGCAAGTGAATCTTACCAATTTTTATAAAAAACAAAAAACAAAAAAGTGATACATAGATATCGATATGTCTGCAGGAAGGAACAGTAGATTTCATGTAACATAACCAAATGATTTCTCATAAAAGTATAGAGGATAAGATCAAATGGTGATAGGTCATTTAGTAAAAAGAAATGAGTAAGTGAAAAGAAAAGTATCTCGATTCGATTATTACATATTATCTTTGAGAAAAATTTAAATATCTTCATTTCTAACCCGTGTTTTATTATGAATTAGTCTTATAGTCGACTCAAAGAATCAAAATTTAAGTAGATATTAAGAGAAACTAACTCGTTTCAAAGAAATAATTAAGATTGTGATAACTTAAAAAAAAATATAGACGATAAGTTAAAGGGTTTTATAAGAGTTATGTTGTAGGAAAAGTGATTCTGTAATGTTATAGAGATTCGTCTTGCGTGCCGTATTTTTTTTTGCTTGAAAAAGTGTGAGCCCCACAAAATATTGTGTGTGTAGGAAACTTTGTTGTGTCATGTTAAATGATAAATGCAAACCCCTAAGTTAAAACACACATATATATTGACACCAGCATGACATATATCTGATTTCAGCTTCCAACGATTGATACAGCAGAATAATAAACTCAGAGAACTGAATTTGATATTTGTGAACAGTGACATTAAGCATAAAAAAATTAAATCCGTGGTCCTGTTGGTTTAGCTTGATTGTGATTTGTGACACACTTAAGTATTTTATTAACTGCTGATTATATTTAGAATGGTTTTAATTATAAAGATAACATTGAATAAACACTTGAAAAATTGGTTCAATACCAAGACGTCCGTCAAAAGTTAAAAAGCAATTCCGGCCCGAGTGATGCCTGTTTGGATGTTCTTGTAAAAAAAGTTACTTTTATGCCATATATTTTAGAATTGTTTTTATAAAAATTAAAATTATTTAGATTTAAAAAAAAAAAAATTAATTTTTGACTTCAGTTTTTTTTATAAACTAAATTTTTTAGCTTAAAAAAAATAAATTTTTGACTTTTTTGTTTTTTCTTTTAAAGCAGATGTTCAAACAGATTTTGCAGTGAGAAATATTTTTTTTTCTAAAAAAAAAAAAAACTTTTGAAAAGAAAAAAAAAAACTCATCCAAATAGATCCTTTAGAGGTGCTTTTTACAAAAGCTAAAGTTATTTAGATTTTTAAAAAAAAATTGAAAATATTTTTTGATTTTTACTTCTATTTTGTTTAGAAGCTAATATTATTAGTTTTAAAAAAAGCAAGTTTTTGACTTTTTTTTATAACTTTTACTTTTTTTCAAAAGAAGATATCTAAACAGGCTTTATGGTAAAAGTGGTTTTTTTTTTAAAGGAAACTTTTGGCTAAAATAAGTCCATCCAAACAGACCCAAGTGAGTTTTGCTTATGGTTTGCCTTTGAATACTTACTTATTACACTTTTTTTATTATTTATTTTCTTATATTTTTTTCATCCAAGTCCCTCCTAAGCCTCCTTAACATTGTTAGAGTTTTTAATTAACATAATTATTCTACCCTTCTTACAAATATACACTTCAGTTATCTTGTGTCATTTTCTTTTCCAAGTTTTTGCAAGGGGTTCTAATTCTAAACATAAAAAATTTCTCCAGCTTCAGATAAAATTTGTGAAGTTCCAATATTAAGGTAATACATTTTCCTTTCTCGCTTGCTGCAAATAGTTTATGTATAAAATTTCAAGCTATTAAAGCAGAATTTTGTGTCAAAAGATAAAAAATAAAAAAAACAGGATTTCATTTAGTGCAATTGCGGAGGAAAGGAGCATGTTCCTTACTAATTCTCTTAAAATCATTTTGTCATCTCTTAAGTGAAAATTCAAATGTATATTTTGCATATTATTTTTCATTTAAAACTTGCCCTTAAATTTTTACTCCTATTTATTTAAGGACTTCAACACTTAATAGTTAATAGTATTTAGAATGATTGAAGGTTTAAGCAAAATACGAGAGCCAGTTGGAAAGTTAAATTTAGCGTAATATTATAAAGGGAAAACTTTAAAAATCCCCTATCAATTTTCTTGATTATCACTTAACCCTCACAATTTTTTTGAATCATTTACATCTTTATTTACATTTTCTTTTTATCACTTACCCCCTCCTGACTTAAAGTTTCTTTATCACTTACCCCCCTCACTTAGGGGTAAGTGATAAAAAAACTTTAAGTCAGAGGATAAATGATTCAAAATTTTAGAAAGGGGATAAATGATTATGAAGAAAGTTATAGGGAAGTTTTTGAAGTTTTTCCTATTATAAAAGTTCATGTTGTGATTAATTGATTATGATATTTGAAGTAATAACCACTTGCAGAGCCGGCTCAAAAATTTAGGTGGTGCCAAAAAAATTGATATATCAAATTATCAAAGTATTTATGAGGAAAAAATTTACTATGAAATTCTGGTTTAGTTATCTAAACTATGTATTAAATAATATCACGTAACACTGAAAATTTAAATGAACAATCGCCACTAATTATATATCAAAGCAAAAAATTTAGATGGTTTGTTGTGACTTTGTATTGAGTATTTGATTTTCTATTTAGGTGGTGCTAAATTATAATTTTAACCTTGGTTAATTTTAATTAATTGTATAATTATATATAATAAATAAAAAATTTAAAACAAGTAGGTGACAAAGCATTTGCTGGCGTAAATATGGCTACGTACTGGTAATAACAGTGCTTATACAATTCTTTTATTCACTCAGGACAAATGATTCGAAACCACTATTTTAGGGCAGTGTTATCTGAGCATCACGATACAGATATTACACTGGTTTAACTTTTAATGGTTTGTTAGAAATGGATCGTTTCAAAAAAATATGATATGGTCATGTGGAAAGATTATAACCATACAAAGGTAATTTAATGGTTATGATTTCGTAACTACTTATTTTATCATTTTTTTTCTCTCCTCCTTTTTTACCATTGATCAACCTTTGTATGGTTAGGATTTCTCATATTACATGATCATGTGAATTTTCACATTAGAGGATCGAGATAGTGGTTTGTTTGAGTTTTCGTTCTCGTTACCTTATTACAAGAATTCCATAAATTTTGTTTGAATCTCGAGAAATTCTGTATGGTAAAAAATCTTTACAAAATATGTAAAAAAAATTCGTGCAAAGCTTGAGAAAAAAGATGATACATCATACAAGGTAACTAAAAAAGGGTATAATAATCTATTAATTAGAAACTCTAATATTATTAAGGAGGGACTTTAATAAAAAAAAATATAGGAGGTAAAATGATAAAAAAATAATATAATAAGATAAGTGATTCAAAGACAAATTATTTGAACTTTTTTCTAATTATTTTTTAGGATTAACATTTTTACTGTTGCAACAGAAAATATGTCTTTATTACACTCACATAAAAACAAGTAAATTCTATTGTGAAGAGATGAGAGAAAAAAAAATATTTTTACTATTTTTTTATACTAATCATATTTTTCAAAGGAAACAATTTATATATAATATTTTATTTTTGTGGTTTGGATCCGAACCGACCCATGCGGGTGAGTGTGAAGAAACTATTTTTTATTCTTCTTCTCTGCATCCGGAAGAGATTGCGACCCTAACCTAAAGTGGTTAACAAAGAAGGTCATTCTCAGGGGACGTTTTTGGTACAAGATAAAAAAAAAATTATCTGAAAATTTTAATTTTTAAAAATATAATTTTTTCATTCAGTTTATAATAATATTTAAAAATATAAAATTTAGAAAAATTTAATTTTATGAAAATCCTAAAAAATTTCGCGTACCAGACGACTCCAGTTCCGCTCTAAATCCCAAACATAAGAATAATAACAGAAACTCACATAACGAGTTTGATTAGCTTCCAATTGTCATATGCAAAGTTTTGTGATAAATCTTGGCAACTGGAAAATTAGGGTTTGAGATGGCCATGAGAGGAGGAAGGAAGAATTTGAAGAGGGCAACCGAGGAAAAGCATATAACCCTTCAAGATGGGCAAAGCATCATGCAGGTGGTGTCTCTTCGAGGCTCCAATCTCATTGAGGTACTGCTTTACAAGTGTTCAATCTTCTCAGTTTCCCCCCTTCTTTCACCGTATCGTTGTTTAATTGTGTATATAGTTCTTATTTATGTTTCCATCTTGATTTGTCTCAAGGTCATGGATGCACGTGGTGAGAAATCACTAGCTCTATTTCCTGCTAAATTTCAGAAAAGCATGTGGATAAAACGAGGTTTGTCCTATTTAAGAAGCAATGCAGTACTTATTGTTTTAATTTAAAAGCTACTCAATATGTTATTTATTTTCTTTTGTTAATTGCTTTACTGACAGTGTTATGTCTTTCTCGTTGAGCCAATGATTTTGTGTTATCACTAGGCTCTGGACATTAGTGAAAGTATTCTCAATCATAGAATGGATAGGCCCTCTCTTGTCAACTTTAACTAACTAGATGTGTTCACTCCACCAACCCATTTTGTCAATCTAATATGTAGTTTTATCAAACTTGAACATATTTATTGTCTTTGAGCCTGTTTGGATCCTCTTATTTTTAAGCTAGAAGTTACTTATAAGCTAAAGCTAAAAAAATAAGCTTAAAAAAATAAGCTAAAAGCTGTTTGGAAATTACATAAAAGTTTTAGCTTAAAAATTACTTAAAATCACATATTTCAAGAAAATTATCTTTCTCTCTATCTTTATCACTCTTCATTTAAAAAAAAAGCACACAATTCAAGAAAAATAGATAAGAGCTTAAAAAAAAGCTCCTCCTAGGAGCTTTTAGTTTTTAGCTTTTTTCTTCATTATAAAAAAAAGAGCTTTTCGTTATAAGAGTTTTTCCCAAAACCTGTTTGGCCTAGCTTATGCTTATAAGTAGCTTCTAACTTAAAAATAAGAGAATCCAAACAAGCACTTTATCTATACTGCTTGAAACATTGATTGTGGGCTATTTGCCTTGTCTGGGGAATTGGCTAGAGAACCATCTATTCATCTACATCCAAGCCATCTGCTAAAGAATTTGAGGCTGAAACATGATCTAAAAATTGAAATGTCTATTGAGTTTTCAAAACTATTACTTTCTTGGTCTGGCTTCACATCGTTGATCAACCAACCCCATATGCTTGCTCAATGTGCAGGGAGCTTTGTTGTAGTTGATGAAAGTGGAAAGGAGAAGGCTCTTGAATCAGGTAGCAAGGTTGCATGTCTCGTTTCTCAAGTTCTTTTCTATGAACAAGTCCGAGCACTACAGAAATCTCCAGAATGGTGTGCACTTGTTTACAGCTCTGATTTACTTGCATTGTGCTCCCTTGTTGAATAATCATATACTTCTTTCTATATTGAACTTGGATTTTATATGCCTGCCATATAGGCCTGAAATTTTTAAATATGGGATGGTAGATGATTCAAATGAAAGAACTACCTCCGAACAAGGGAACGAGACAGATGCCAGTGATGATGATGGACTACCTCCATTGGAAGCCAATACAAACAGGATGAGACCTATTGAGCTGCAAGCTAACGAAGATTCAGAATCCAGTTCGGATAAAGATGATTGATTTATCTAGTCAGGCTCACACGCTTAATGCATGTGAAAAATTGTTTCTGTCCTGTCTTTATGGGCTAATTGCTCTGAATACGTGATTGCATTGACTTGTGAAATTATAAAACACAATGGATAAATCATTTGCTTGATAATTTTACACCTCAGAACATGAATAATATATTACGAAGAGATAAATGAAGGGTTTTATGTTTATCATGTAACATAACTTTACTTTCCTACACACACATTAAAGAGGTGTAGTCTACATGTTTTTCTTTCTCTTTCATCATTCTACTTTCTCTCTCCTTTTTATTGTGTGTGTTGAAAACAACACTTAAATCATGTAACATAACATTAATAAAACCCATAAATGAAAATGTGAAAGTAATTGTGAGCCGCTTCATTATAGCATGTGATCCCAAGGAGATAAAGTCATACGTATAGCTCAATGCTAATACAGCTTGGACTCCCTTTACTACATTTAGACAATACAAAGATATACGTTACTTCATTTACAATATATATATATATATATATATATATATATATATATATATATATACGTTACTTATACGGATAAGGATTTTCACCCTTAATTAAAGTATTGAAATTTTACTCTATTGATACATGGCCCGAATTTATTTTTGGACTTTTTCCATCCTTATGTATGTGGGAATATTTTTGACGCCATCACTCCTCCAATCATAATTGCTTGTTTAGACTCATCAATGGTCTACCAGCTCCATTTTGCCTTTTTTTCCGCCCGAGTTTTATGCATGAAATAAGTCCAAGTATCTAAAACGATATCATACTTTGGTTTCACTTGCTCAAGTCTCTCCAACCCAACACTAAGTCTGTAAAGTACGCCATTGATTTATCTAATAGTTAATGTAAAATATACAATTGAAACCAAAAAAATGAAATCAACTACATAACATGTAGACTATTTTTAATTTAATGATTAAATCAATGAAATCCCTTTTTATTAGAAGTTATTACATAAGTTTGAGAAGTTTCACGTGAATATCTATCAGTGATCGCATAAACATTTCTATACATTCACAACTGATAAAGTAACTTTTATTTTTAAGAGTATTTTAAAATACGCAGATTAAACATTTTATACGCCAAAATCATATTTTTACAACAATTGTCTTAATTTCTGTGCATGACACGTGCGCAGCACCTATTGCAAAACTGGTAGTGGTATACTGAAAATTGAATAAAGGAGCTAAACTGCTTCTGATGCACCTATTGCCTAGTTCAAGATAACAAATATTTAAGGAGAGACTATGAAACAAAACCACATCAAGTCATCATGGGAATGCTTTATCACCACATCTCAAACTCTGGGAACTCCCTCATTCTTGATCTTCCCAGCTTCAGTTTAGATACACCAAACATCTTAGTTCTGTTGAGAATTATGATTCTCTTTCTTGACTCTGGATCATTTTCTCAATTTGAGTATGAGCTTCTTACCTTCAACAGATGGTTGAGTTCCTCTTATCACTTGACTTGGTGAAGAATAACCCATCAGTTGATGTAGGGTTGAACTTTTTGGTGGTGGCCGTGCCTTCATTTCTGATGACAATTTCCCAGAACCAGACATATTGGAGGAAAGGAAAGCTGATTCATATGTCTCCACTGGAGCCTCGGTTGTACTAGAATATCTTGAAGCAATCTTCTCCTCTTTTATAGGCTCAAATGTACCTTGAGAGAAACTTGGGTTGTCATATTCACTGCCATGAAAGGGATGAAATTGTGTCAGAGAAACAGGATCTCCTTCTGAGGAGTAGCTTTTAGAGACAGAAAGCCCATAATCTTCATAATATGAAATGGGATTTGAATGTGAATATTTGTAATAGTAGGCATGAGATGTTGAAGGTAGATTGCTCCTACTAATCACCTCTCTTTGGTCATTAAGGTCACTTGATGGAGGGCCTAGAGCATTTGGTGAAAAAGAAACAATAAGACTTCCATTCTGCAATGAAAACTTGAGTACTTCTGAACATTCACCACATTTCAGCTTATGACATGCCCTTTTAAAAAGGAGAAAATCCGCAGGCATCTGCAGCAGCTTTGAGCATTTATGACAAGTGACAAAAGGAGCTCCACCTGCTACTGGCTTGCAATGTTGCTTAACCAGGTTCTTTTTCTCCCTTAAATATTTCTTCACCTTGGGAGCCATATGCCTCTGATCATCAGATTTTGTTTCATGGCCATACAGTGGGAGTTTAGAGTCTGTGAACCATTGTGGACTTGAAGGATAAGAGCGGTGAGAGGACCAAAAATCTTGGCCAGGATAGGACCTACGTAACTCTTCATGCTGGAAAAGAACATGTGGATACATATCTGCTAAGAAATGCCGCTCTTGGGGATAACAATGGAAACAAGGATGATCCACATGGGGTGCCCTGCTTGTTGCCTCAGCTGAATAAGGTATCCTTGAAAATTTATGCCTTTGGTTGGAGTTGACTCCATGACTACACCTTCCATTACACCTGGGGTAATCCAAACCATGAGAAAACCTTCCCTCGTGAAGGTCATGGCTATGATATGAAGAAATATGATTTCCCTTGTAAGAGACACCTGTAGACATTCTTCCATTTGTTTCCTCACTCATAGAGCGAGTCCTGTTTAGTTGATCCTGCAACTTATTAACCATTCTCAACAGTTTCATCTTCTCCTGGTCAGTGTCCTCAAAGGATTCAGGTGGAAGAAAGCTTGAGCTGGAGTAGCGCTTATGATGCATTTGATTTGATAGGCTTCCACTTCCATAACGAGATTGAGAACCACTTCGATGGAAAGGCATTCTTGGGGGAAACTCATCTCTCTTTGTTCTCATCCAACGTTGATGACCATGTCTTGTAGTCTCCAGCACTTCTTTTTTATTCCCTCTTCTGTCTTTCATTATATGATGCTTTTCATTGGGCAAATGTGATTGACGATGAGTACCAAGATCTCCATATAAAAGGCTATCAACAAGGCCTTTACCCTTTCTGGTCCTTCCCTCAGAAACACCATTAGCAACTTTATTATAAGTGTTCTCAGAAGAATCTAAATGTTGGATACGGGACCTCCCATCCATTCCATCATAAGAAGAGAGGCTGCCATCATAAGCATAAGATCTTCTGGTGGTTGGAGATTTAGGCAATTTTTTAAAAATACCACTAAGCTCTGAACTGGGATTAATTAACTCTGTAGTATCTAATGTATCCACAGACCTTACACGGTCAGAGCTATGGTGAACAATTTTCTGAGCTTGCTTCTGTTGTTTATTAGAAGATACAGGATTACCAGATTTACCTTCTTCAAGTTTACCAGGAGTAACACGTAAGATGCTTCCTTTCGCAGTGCTTGCCCTTTTAGTAGTAGAAGCACTTTCTGTTGTGTCCACTTTAGATTTTGCACCCTCAATAGCTGATTGGTCATTGTTGGGCTCTTCTCCATCATGTGCACATATATTCAACTCCTCTTCTGCTCCTTCTAGTAACAAGCTTCCATTAGTTAACTCTTCTGATCCTTCTAAACCACTTCCAGTAATTTCCACTTCAGGGTTTGCACCTGCCATAGTTGACTTGTCTTTATTGGCATCTTCTCCATCTGATCCACAAATTAACTCCTCTTCTACTCCCTCTAGTAACAAGTTTCTATTACTTAAATCTTCTGTTCCTACTAAATCACTTTCAGTAATTTCCACATCAGATTTTACCCCCACCAGAGCTGTTTTGTCATGATTTCCATCTTCATCCGATGCACAAATTAACTCATCTTTCGATCCTTCAAATAACAAGTTTCCATTATTTATCTCCTCAATCTCAGAGTGTGTGATCACATTTGAACAACCTTTGTTGGACACTCTATGCCTTCTGTGTGACAACTTATAGACATCCAACTCACTTTCCAGTTCTTCATCTGATAAACTAAACGGTACAAGCTGACCCCCATTGTATTCACCATTTTCATTTTGACCCCTTCCAACATTTCCATCCAAATAACATTCTCCTGAACAAGTAGTTGCTTTTGCCTTCAAACTATCTTCCCGTGTAGGAACCAGATGCTTTCTATCGCTATATTTTTTACCCTTAGCAACAATATCCAATGCTTTTCTAGGAACTGCATCAGTTTCTTGTATACTAGATTCTGAGTTCACGGTCACACTTTCTCGTTTCTTAGCTGTATGGAGAGAAAAACAAATGGATTTCAGTAATTCAGAATTACAAGAGGTAGATGTATAGGATAAAATCAATACCCTCATTTGATAGTTTGGATATTAGCAAAAGTTTACACATGAGAGTACCGATAACAGATTAAAGCAGCAGCATTTGATTCATAGAGTGCACATAAGACATTTCAAGCAAGGAGAATAAACCATATCATAAAAAAAATTAATTTCTTTCGAAAAATTTCAGAATAGAATAAGATATTAAAAGCTATGCTAAATTTTGTAAGAGTTCAAGAAGTGCAACGGCCATAAACTTAACAGATGATTTTTGTTAAAATAAAAAATAAAAAAAAATCTGCATAGTGTTTTGCAACAGAATAAAATTTGAAAAGTACAATGTTATATACAAAAATTAGATATTTCACCTAGAAGAGTTGTTCCACATGCACCACACTTGTACACATCATATTTTGTAGGCTCTTGAAGAAGTAGCCGGCATTTAGGACATTTAACTACCCGAAGTTTGGGAACCAACTCACCAGACATCTTAGTCCAAATATGTAATTAATTACAGTCCAAAGGTTGGGTCTTGGCCACAAATTTTTGAACACCAGTAGATGTCAAAGTCTGAAAAAAAAAACAAAGCTATCCCAATGCTCTCCCTGTATCTGCATAAAAAAAATAAAAATAAAGCTTAGTTTGAATTATTATAAACAATTATTTGGTTAATTATGTAAAAGGAGGAGAAGTATGATATTCAAAAAAATGAAAATTGTACTAAGAAACTGCAGGATCCAGCAAATCAACGTAACTATTTATAACAAAAAAAAAAGTTCCGCCATAGTTAGTAATTTGGGACAAAGGTGACCTTTATGGGTCTTGAGTCAGCTACTTGTACAAACTCTAACCAAGTATAAATTGAACATTACTACTATAGATAATACACCATAGACAAATAAAAATTGCTCTTTAAAAGGAAAATTCTCCAATTTCTGGAAATCGACAAAATAGCTTGAACGTAATTTATAGCTAATTCCATATTTCTGAAATTTATCAATCCATTTCATCCTCTTCTACGGTACTTCCGTAATCCATAGACAAATAAAAATATAGATCTCATAGCTTTACCAGTTATCTTATATTCTTATCTTTAGTAATATGCTGCAAGACAAATGGAAAAACGACAATTCACCCAAAAAAAAAAAAAAAAAAAGTGGAAAAACGACAAACTAAAAACGCGGAAACGCACAAACAACAAGAAGTTTAATCTCACTGACAAACGCACAGGCAATCATGTTTCATAGGTGATAGCTATATATATCGCAAAATATTTTAAATAACCCCACAAAATGAAATATGCAGAGTTTATAATAAAAAAAATGGCATATAGCTTATCAGATTTATCCAACAAAGAGAAGCCCAACAAATAAAAACTTATATTTTCGCATGAAAAAACTAAAATAAGTAAATACTTGATATCATTCAAACAGATTATAAAAACTGGGATTTAGAGAAAATGAGACCCATGTCCCATTGAGTGAAAAGCTAGAAAAAAAAAAAAGAATAAGAAGAAGAAGAGGCCATTGAAATGTTAGAATGAAGGTACCGTAGCTATAGCAAACTTAGATCGGATAGGTGATTGAAGCTAACAAAGTCTAAGTAAATAGTTGAACACCACAAGGTGGAAGGGAAGAAAGACAAGTATACATATACAAACATTGATATATTATGAGAAATTGAAGAGAAATTAATGAAAGATGTTATTGAAGACAGACAGGAACCTGTTGGGAAAGTGGGAAATGAGAAAAGCTTTTCTTTGGCGCAAAGTTTACGACCAAATTAAGAATGTGCAAAGATGTAGATAGGTCTGTCATTGTTGTTGTTGTTCTTGCTGTGTGGAAAGGTAACAAGAGTCTTCTATTTCGTGTTTTAGAGTGGTTTAAAGTCAACTCTGAACAAAACCTCTTTACTCTTTGCTTTGAATTTTTCCTTTTGTTCAGTGGGTTTCTCTCTCTTTCTCCCTAGCCGTGTTTGTGTTTTGTGTGTGATGGATTCGAAAGGACAACCTGGAAGGATATGGGTCCCATCTTGCTCACTATTTCAATATTTTTAAAGATTTTTAAGGTCCCACACAAGGTGATATAATTAAAAATTTAGGGTATTTTTTATTCAATTTTATTTTTAATATATATATATATATATATATATATATATATATATGTATGTATATATTTCCATCCAATTGTTTCTTGGAATAATTTTAGGCCACAAAAATGTGAAAATTTGTTTCAGAAAATTTTTGAAAATTTAATGGTATTGTAACGAGTGATGACCTATGTTGCACCGACACCGACACGAGACACGGGATACGACACGACACGACACTCCGACACGTTAATTCTAAAAAATATCAAAAATGTCAAATTCTGACACGTTAGGATATGTTTTGATATTATATAATATTTCTAATTTATGTAGTGTATATTATATTTAGTATTCAATAATTTAACAAAAAAATAAAGCTAAACTTATAATACCCATCAATTTTGTAAAGAAACATAATATATCCCAAATGTTTATATTAAACTCAATAAAATCGTAATCATAATATAACGAATCTAATAGTTGGAACTCAAAATACAACGCAACGTAACCTTTAAACTTTTTTTTAATCTTTACAACGAGTATTGGAGTGTCGAAAAGTGTAGGAGTGTCAGAAAGTGTCAGACACGACACGTCAGGATTTTTGAAGTGTCGATGCTTCGTAGGTAATAACAATAAGGGAAATGGAAGTGGTGAGTGGTGACAGCTTCGATAGTAATTAAGGATGATGAAGGTGGCTTCGATGAAGCTGATAGTTTGAAATTTGCAATAGAGATTTCATGAAAAATAAAAACAACTAAAATATGTGTTTAAAATGTAAAATAAGAGGGTGGATTATCTCATATATTATTTAATATAACAATGTCATGTGAGAGAATAATAATTATATAAATTAAAATCAATTATAATAAAAATAGAGAGAAAATATTAGGATAAGTGATTATAAAATCATCATCCTTAATTCATTCTTGTATAATAAAGATTATCTCACATGATATAGTAATGTTAAATAACACATAACTTTTCTTTCAAAATAAATAACACATAACTAAAATAGAGCTATGAATAAAAGTTGTGGATATATACAGCATAGGTGACAACTTATGAAGGTAATTCCATAGAGGTACAACAAAAATGGCAATATCATTATGATATTAAAAAATGGATATGGTCACAAGCTAAGATACCCGGACACGGCGTTTTACAAAAAAATTGCGTGTCCGACACGGACACGCTGTGACACGTTCCGACACGCGGTCAACATTTTGGGACACGTGGTCAACTCGGAACAGTGATCATTTTGCCACTGTCCATCATATTATTTACCAGAATGCCATGCGCACAGTAATAATTCCCAAAATGCCACGCAGGATAATTCGCTACACAGTGTAGCGAATTATTCCTGCTGATGTGTCACCTCCCCAATGGCCACGTAATTCGCTACACAGTGTAGCGAAATACATGGTCAAATGGTCAGACTCCCTAGTCAACATGATGGATACGTGTCACAGTCCTGTTGGACAAGATGGGTCAGTTAATGTCAAGTCAAAGTCAGGCCACATGTCAGCACCCCACGTAATTCGCTGTACCATGTAGCGAATTATGGGACAATTTTTGTTGTGACTCATAGCGAATTAGCAACGTATCTGACACATCAGAGCCAAGTGTCATCCCCCCAGTAATTCGCTAGGGGGCATTGCGAATTATGAGCAATAATTTGCTACCCCACATAGCGAATTATGTACTATATATGTTTCCATTTCAGGTGTGAACCACCAAGTGCGGAAATTTTCCGTTTATGTATGCTTTACTACTTTTGTGTTGTTGTTGAATCTGAGTTTTTTTCTACTTTTGTAGGATGAGTGAGGGTAGGAATGATTTAATAGCTACTGTTTATTATAATGGGAGAAAATATTTTGGTCCTAACGGGCAAGTTTTTGAAGGTGATGCAAAAATGTTTCGCATGAGCCCAACATGCAATCTTCACGAGCTGAAGAAGATAATATACAAGAAGTTGAGATTACAACGTGGTCAAACTCTTGCTCGGTTGACCGCTAGATGTGCCTCGGGTAACCCTGTGCAATGGGTTGGTGTGGCCACCATAATGCTGAAACCTCTCCCGTAGGAAGTGGAGACCCAACAAACCTCCAGACAGATCCCTACTAGCCTGTGGATTAACTCCTAAAAAGCCACTGATTATCTGCCTAAATGGATGTCGTCTGTGGCGCCCGGACACAACCTCACCATCAGTGGGCAATCCTAGTAGATGATGCACATCCTCCAGGGTAATGGAGACCTCGCCCATAGTCATATGAAATGTCCGTGTCTCTGGGCGCCATCGCTCGACAAGCGCAGACACAAGTGCATGGTCTATCTGAAATCATAAAAATATATGGTCAATCAGCAATGAAAATATTATTAGAACAATGCCATATTCCAAGGTTTTTTCGTAGTGATACAATAAAAAATTTACTAACCTCATGGTTGCGCAAACGCATAATATGGTAAAACCCAGCCTGCATCAGCCATGGTTGAATCTCCTCGGAAATGTCAAGGTGATTATGCGTCGCAACATGTCGCACATTAATCACACGATCCTGGACATTCGGGTCCTCACAGGTGTTCCTCACATGTGTGGATATATGTTTATCCTGAAGAGTCAAAAGAGTACAGTCTACTGGCCCAGGGTCAATCACACTGCGTGGAGACCTAGGACGAGATGCCTCATCATGCTCCATAGATCTATTAAAAAGAATAATTAAATCATGATAGCGATAATTTAAAAAATTTCAATGCATAAAAAATTAATGAAGTAAATGTAATGCATAACAATTAAAGGATTACAACTATTTTTTTATGACTTACATAAATTAACTAATTATGGAGCTATATGAATTAAATTATTAACCCCGAATATTATTCATAAACAAAGAATTAAAAAAAAAACTTAACTAAATAAATTAATACAAAACAATTAAACAGGTTAAACCCAATTTAAGTTTATGCTTGAAATAAATTAAAAAATTTGCTAACCTAACGTTTCTAAATCAACACGCACGTTAATAAAAAATGTATTAAAGAATAAATAATAAATTAAACCTAAGGTTTTATGCGTTAATAAATTCACATAATTACCAACCTAAGGTTTCAAATACCAACATTAAATAAAATTCAAAAAATATAAAAGCATAAATAAAAAATTAAATAAATTAGACCTAACCTTTTATGCATTAAAATAAATTCATATAATTACCAACCTAAGGTTTCAAATATCAAAATTAAAAAATATTTATAAATTATTAACGTTTAAAAATTAATTAAAAAATTTAATTATGTAGACCTAACCATTCATTCAAGTGTAAAATAAATTAACACATTTATTAACCTAACGTTTCAAATACCAACATTAAATAATATTCAAAAAATATTCGAGCATAAATAAAAAATTAATTAAATTAGACCTAAGCATTCAAGCGTGAAATTAATTAACACATTTTACTAGCCTAAGGTTTCAAATACCTCAATTAAATAACATTACAAATGTATTAAGGCATAAATAATAAATTAAATAATTTATACCTAACCATTTATGCATGAAATAAAATTACCATATTTACTAACCTAAGGTTTCAAATATTAACATTAAATAATATAATACATTTACTAACCTAAGGTTTCAAGTATCAACATTAAATAACATAACATATTTACTAACCTAATGTTTCAAGTATCAATATTAAAGAATATAACACATTTATAAAAGCATAATTAATAAATCAAATATATTATAAAAGCAACAACAACAACAACAAAACTAACTTTGTAGAGTGAGAAAGCACTTAGAGAGAGAGAGAGAGGGAGTGAGGTAGAGATTGAGAGGAAATGGTGGGGACCGTGGAGTTTAAATAGAAAAACAGCTGCACATAATTCTCTATGTAGCGAATTTGTGCATGGTTGACACATGTCTGACATGCGCAGTGGAGCAGGTGATCATTGCCACGTATTTCGCTACACAGTATAGCGAAATATTGGTGGCTTGACACGTGTCCATCATGTTGACTGGGGAGTCTGATCATTTGACCACGTATTTCGCTACACTGTGTAGGGAATTACGTGACCATTGGGGAGGTGACACATCAGCAGGCATACTTCGCTACACTGTGTAGCGAATTAACCCGCGTGGCAATTTGGAAATTTTTACTGTACGCGTGGCATTCTGGTAAATAATATGAGGAACAGTGGCAAAATGGTCACTGTTCTAGTCAACTCTTCGACACGCTCCGACATATTTTTTCGACACGCGGTCAATTTTTTCTGACACGTGGTCAATGCTTGGACACGTTTTTTTTTGTCTTAATTTTATTTTATTAATTAAAAATAAAAAAATCATTTATAAATCAATTTTTTCTGTTATGAAATTTGGCATGAAAAATTAATAAGGTACGATTTTTTTTTTATATTTATGTTATGAAATTTGAATATTTGATTGATTATATAACTTATTATGGACTGTCATATGTATTAAATATAAATTATATTATATATATTAAAAATATTATTTAATATCAAAACGTGTCACAATATGTCGAAATATGCTATTTTTTAAAAATAACGTGTCAGCGTGTCATGTCGTGTCCTGTGTCTCGTGTCAGTGTCCGAGTGTCCGTGCATCATAAGGCACAAGCATAACGTAATATCTTTCTTATTTGGTTTATCCACTTTTGCTTGTTTAATTATAGACTTTACTTTCGTAGATATTACAATTATATATTTTTAAATATAGTTTTGGTGTTTACTTCTGGGTACGCTGTCGTACATGTGACTTACAGCATGATTTGTTTTCGTCTTAAAAATATATTTAATAAAAATGTATATAATTTTTCACATATAAACAAAGAAATCATTAAATGAAGTAAAAAAAATACCAATTAAATGAGTTTTCAATTTTTTTCTTTAAAATTGTATTTTCACAAAAAAATTATCAAACAGAAAAAAATTTTACTTTTAAATTTTTTTCAAGACAATGATATTGAATGTATTTTTTCTTCTTTTATTCTAAATTCTTTTTACAGCTAAAAATATTTTAAAATGAAAAAACGAAATTACAATCAAATGCACCCTTAATTTGACGCTTGGAATTGTATTATTGTTTAATGATCATAAGTTGTAATATTATCAAACAATTTTTCAATATGAATATATATATTAGGAGGTGAGGAGTCATAATTTTTAATAAAATATATCCATAATATAAAAATTCACTTCGAGAAGTAAAAATTGAAAATAAAGAAAGACAGGTGTTCGATTTTGACATTGCAATACAATTTAAAAAAAAAAGTGAAATACTTTTACCAAAATCTATTGACACAAATAGTAAGGAGTTTGTATCCCTTAATTAGAGATATCATATTCAAACTCTGTGAATGAAAAAAATATCGTCTCATTTATAAGATTCGAGAGCATTTAAATCAGACTAGTCCAACAGATGAATATCGATTAAGAAGACTAAAAAAAGAAGAAAAAAAGTTATGTATTTTCCTTTAATATTTGAGTTTTGCTTGACGGAAAGCAATGATGAAAAGATCTTATTTACTATTAAAATCTGTGCCCTTTGATTGCGAGTACCGATAGCCTGTATCTTATTTTAAGAGGACTATGGCTCCACATAATTCAACCCGTGAACGCAAAAATAAACGTCGAAACATTGATCAGTTTACATGGAAAAAAAAGGAGAAAAGCAAATGGAACCCGTCAAGAAAATTGAATTTGAGATTAGGTCAACTTACCCAAGAGTGGGGACTGGAGAGAACGCGTCCTATGGGTCAATCACCAACTGTCATATGACACGTTGCATTTATTATTCAGGTGCTGTTTCTCCTAATGAAAACTTTCCGTTTAAGATGACGTAACTGTGACAAAATTCTTTGTTGTATATATGCAAAAATGCAAAATACAGAAAATAAAATATACAAAATGACCCATTTGAAGAAAAAGCCTAAGTCAAGTGGAGCCTTCTATAACTATAACGGACCACAAAATTATTAGCAGTTATCCGGAGTTCATTCTGGCTTTAAAATAAAATCAAAAGCCATTTAAATAGTTTCTTAAACTAGGAAATATTTTTGGGTTTTATTAGTGTTATGTAACATAATATAAGTGTTGTTTCCAACTCTCACATTAAAAAGGAGAGAAAAAATGGAATGATGAAAGAGAAAGAAAAATATGTGGACCCCACCTCTTTAATGTGTGTGTAGGAAAGTGAAGTTATATTATGTTAAATGATAAACATAAAACCCAATATTTTTATTGCAAACATCACACTGAGCATTCAGTAGGACGGTATTATTATAAATATGTATTTTAAAAAATATATAATTATAATATTAAAATTATTTTTTTTATCTCTTTGAAAATTTGTCAGCTGATATAAAGAGAGAAAAAAAAAATTAATATTATAATTATATATTCCATAAAATTCATAGTTATCAGAGCACTCGGAGCGACGGTTCCACCGAAGATAATGCTCTCCACTTCTCAAATGGAGACAAATGCTTCAGTCAAATACCCATTTTACTCCGTCTATTAATTGTGAAACAGTGGAGTTCATAAACTCTCTGTTCTTTTGAGCTTTAATATATATGCGGAACTCGTGTTTCTTTCTATGACTTCAAATTCAATGCTGTTTGAACTCCCTACGTATTCCAGAGAATAGCATGACAAAGGAACTTATTCAACACGTTAGGTGTATGGATCCTTCTATGATTTCAGTCATTGATAAATAACATAACATAATGTGATCTATATATATTATTTCTAAGATGAGAGTTATATCAGGCGTAAGCTGCATTTACATTTTTCAATGACATTTAATTTATTCATTTGCAGCCACGAGCAAGAGGGCCTTCGTAATTACTAAGAAGCATGACTCCCGCGGAGTTTGACAACGGACCTAGACAAAGTCTTATGTTAAGTGATTCAGACTTGACTATTGAGAATTGAGAATTGAGAGCGTCTTTCGATCGAAAGATCTCGAAGATGACCACACACCCATAAAAATTCATAAAAAGGATTTAAAAAAAAAAACACCTATTGGTAATTAGCTTATTGCTAGAATTGGTTTACAATTCAGATAACAAGATTCACACATAATCCCATATCAATTTAAACATAAATATGGAATATATATCAATATAATTTATTCATAGAATAGGCTATCGGATTATTTACCTGGTCAAAATTGTTATATGGATGTACGAGTGTATGATATAACAAATAAAGATAATAATTTTTAAAAAAATATAAGATACGGGTACGACAATACATATTAAATAAAATATTTATGTTTACCAAAATAAAAATAAACTATTTATGTTGTAAATATTTGTTATTTTATTATTATTAGTATTTGTTGTATTGGGCCAAGCCCATTAGGTCAAGTATTAGGGTTTTCATTCTCTATAAATAGAGACCTCTTTGTACAGATTATTCACACAATTCAATAATATTTCAAATACCCTTTTCTTTCAAGTTGGTATCAGAGCTCTCGATCCTGAGGGCTCTGCTTCCGCAATTACCGCTTCTCCTTTCCTCTTCTCGCCGCCAATCAGTCGCCACCGGAAATTTTTTCCGGGGACCTTTTTTTGGACCGAGAGGACCTGTTTTCAAATCTTTTTTCTCTGATCTATCAGTCTGTAGACCTTTTACAATCAATTGACGGCCGGATCTCTTAAGAACGACT